TTTAATGCCGCTAGGGGTGTCAATATTGGACCCGACCCGAACCCGACCCGAAAATTTCGGGTTTGGGTTGACCCGAACCCGAAACGGGTCAGGTTCAGGTTCAATAATTCGACCAGTTTCAAAAATCGGGTCGGGTTCGAGTTGACCAGTCAACCCAAAATTGACCCGTTTTTGACCCGTAAACCCGAGATTGACCCGTTCTTGACACGAAAAGCAGAATTTGACCCTTTTTTTAACCCGAATCGGGTCATTCGGGTCGGGTCGGGTTGACCCAGACCCGAACCCGAAGCGGGTCGGGTTCGAGTCCGGAAAACCAACCCGTTTATAGAAACGGGTCGGGTTCGGGTTAACCCAAATAGTACCGGGTCAGTTTCAGGTTCGACCTGAACCCGACCCGTGACCCGAAATTGACACCCCTAAATGCCGCTAGCCTCCTTCCCCCCTTTGCCTCCAAAATTTGAATTCACCTTTGGTTACTTTCCTTTTATCAAACGATCTAAGATAGGAAAATATTTGATTTCAAATTCTAAGTAATTTTGAATTTGAAATACTTTCCTAATTTAAGATAGCCTATTTTAGGAAATTTAGTTAAATTAAATCTAAATAGGTTTCTAATTGGATATGATTTGATTTAATTATTAATAATATTTTGATCTCAATTAAAGCAAGAAATTCAAATCTCAAATGTCCCCTTTTTTTCCCTTCTTGTTCTACATCAGTTTGGTATCAGAGCATGGTTACTCGGGGTGTAGACTCGACGGAGTTAGGCTCTTTTTCACCTCTGGAGAATGATGCAGACATTCGATCATGAAGATTTTCAAAGGAGGAGACGACAATCGACGACCGAGATCATTCCACCTTATCTTAATTTGTTATTTGTAATTTTTATTTTTATTATGAATTTTTTGTTTCTACCCTTAAGAGGGTCGTCCTATGTAAGCCCTAGGAACATGTGTCTTGTTTTAGTTTCTTAGGCCTATATTTAGAGGCCCTTGCTTGTGTAATAAAAGTTGTTTGCACTTGTGTTCTTTGGGAAGAACCTTGGGTGAGATTTCTATGGGAGGAATTCGTAGCTTCTACCAGCCGCAGGATGTGTCCGGACTCGTGGTCTGAAGTCCCTTGGTGAATGGAAACGTAGTACCCGTCAGCGGCAGGATGTGTCCAGGCTCGCGGTTGTATCTTTCTTTTCCTAAATCTTTTTCTCCTCCTCCCTTGATCGCCGGCCAAAATCCTCCATATTCCACCGGCCGATTCTGCCATAAACCCTTCCACTTCCACAAAACTGGCCTCCCCTTCTCCCTCCCCATGGCCTTAGCTCCACCTCCAACACCCCCCTGCCAATCTCCCTAGCCGCCAGTCTCACCAAATTGCCGACCACCTTCTTTCCCCTTGGCTCTACAAATCTCCCTTCACATTCAAAGCCCTTTCCTATTTTAGCCCTTCTAACTTAGTAACAAATTGAAATTTAAAATTCAAATTAATTTGAATTTGAATTTTGTTTCTAAAATTATGATTCTTATTTTAGAAAAGTATTTGAATTAGATCAAATTAATTATTTAATTGGATGTGATTTAAATATTACTCCCTAATTTAAGATTCCAATCAAAGTCCTTTTTTAATTCTCTTTCCATAACCTCTCCTCCCCCTTTTAATGTTGCCAGCCTCTTCCCCCCTTGTACCTCTTTGCCTCCAAAATCTGAATTCCCCTTTGTTACTTTCCTTTTATCAAACGATCTAAGTTAGGAAAATATTTGATTTCAAATTCTAAGTAATTTTGAATTTAAATACTTTCCTAATTTAAGATGCCTATTTTAAGAAAGTTACTTAAATTAAATCTAATTACGTTTCTAATTGAATTTGATTTGATTTAATTATTCCTAAAATTTTGATCTCAATTAAAGCAAGAAATTCAAATCTCAAATGTCCCATTTTTTTCCCTTCTCGTTCTACATCAATAAGATTAGAGAGAATCGCCTTAGATGATTTGGTCACATTAAACAGAGGCCTTAGGAAAGTTGAGATATTAGATTCGACATATGCTAAGAAAGGTAGAGGTAGACTTAAAAAGACTTGGTTAGAAAATATTAGAAATAATATTTCTTTATTATATTTAAATGAGAATTTGACTTTTAACCGGACACAATGGCGAAAAAGGACGCATGTAGCCGACCCCACATAGTGGGACAAAGGCTTGATGTTGCTGTTGATGTAATAAGATTCAAGATCTTAAGATTTTATCTGTGCATGAGGAAGCGAATGTTATGTGAGAAAAAGTAACTAGTAAAATTAAGAATATTGCAAATGATGTGCTTGGAGTTTCAAAAGGAAAAGTTCCAAAAATAAAAATAGTTGGTGGTGGAATCAAAATGTGTAAGAAAAGATAAAAAATAAGAAGTTTTGTTATAATAATTGGTTTATGTAAAAACTCCGAAAATTGAGAAAGTCTTTATTAGATTTAAATGAGAATTGAACTCTTAACAGGACACAATAGAGAGATTCATGTAGCTGACCCCATGTAGTGGGATAAAGGCTTGATGTTGTTGTTGTTGTTAAATGTGTTTTTTAAGTATTAATGAATGGTGGATTCAATTTGGAGATAACACTCCTAAATTATAAGGTTTTGCAAATAAAGTATCAAATAGCATATGATCATCATAAGTGTGTAAGCAAAATTGAAGTACGTATACCAAGTTCGCCAAGTAGAGAAATTTGACTACTTTAAAGATGAACTTATTGATTTATATTATATACAACAAGAGATCAACAAATAAACAATTAAAAAAATAGGTTTGGAGGATGATAAAGATCTATTAGTTTATAATCAAATGATGAATGGTTTGTGAGGAATGGAAATTAAATCACACCATTAAATTTGCAAAAATAAGATCTCAATGTTGACTTCTTTGATGGAGAAAGGAGCAAGATTAACACTAGTCAACTACTATGTGTGTGTGATGAAATTTTTATTAAGTTGAATGTGTTGGATTCCTTTATGTGAGGTGTGAGAATCAACATTGTAGTAAATTTTCTATTCGAACAAAATTTTTATTCAAGATTTAAAATTCTAACAATAATTATAATACTGTTTAGAATGAAATAATTATGCTTGAAGCTTTTGCATCAAAAGAAATTAATCTTTACTAAAATTGGGAGCTGATAACCTATGAATTATTTATTTTTTGTGTGTTTCATTATACATATCATACTAGGATGCATTGGTGGCCACAAATGGTGCAGATAGAGATTATCTTGCTTATTTCCTTAACTCCTCAGTCTTCCATGCCCTAAACTACAGCATTTATTGACAATCCCTTGCATCAACAACTTTGAATAAAGAGTTCTTGTATCCCAGTCAACGAAAATGACAGCGAGCTATTGCATCCACCAACATTCCTCACTTCTCCATACTACTCAAGTTCTAGTCACTCCCTCCTCCCGTCTTCCATTCAACCAAATAGAAAGTCGAGTAACAAATAACCTCAGCTCAGGATTGTTAGATTGCATATGAGTTGACCTTCAACAAAGCATTCACGAAAATTGCCCAAGTCTTCCAGCTGGTATGAGCATGGATGATAAATATTCAAGCCAAGCTTGAAAAGCCTAGAAATTGCACAAGCTAAACTTATTTACAACTCTGGCATCTTTGTTAGATAAAATAATAGACAACCAACTTTGCTTTGGGACTTAGGCTTCGTTTGGGACTACTGCAGCTGTCGGCAAAGCATGTTGTGAAGTTGATGTACAAAAAGTTGAGTTCTGAAGTTACTGTATAGAAAGCAGTATATTTTGTTTGGGAAGTATAACTGTCGAGCTGCTGTGCTACAGCTGTATGGAAACAAATTACGTTTATAACCTTACATATATTGTAGTGAAATAAAATTGCTTAAATATCAAATATTTTGGTAAATTTATATGATCTACTCCTACTCCGACGCACTTCACGCCTTCGCCGCCGCCTCCCTCGGCACCTCCGCATCCTTCGCCGCTCCCCTGCCATCCTACACCTTCACCCCGACCCCTTGATTCGTCTCCACACCACTCGCACCCCTTTCTTCCTCAGTCTTTCTCCCTCTTCCCCTTCATCCCCTTTCCGTGCCGCCGATGCTGCTTCCGGCTCCGTCATCATCGGCGTCCTTGACACCGGCGTTTGGCCCGAATCCCCTTCCTTTGACGACGTCTCGCTTTCTCCCATCACCTCCAGATGGCGCGGCCACTGCGAAGCCGGCGTCGATTTCTCCCCTTCTCTCTGTAATCGTTAACTCATCAGCGCCCGCGCTTTCTCTCGCGGTTTGCTCGCTGGCTCTGGCGCTCCGAGTAAGCCACTTTTTCCGAAATTATTCTTTCCATCACCGATCGAGCGGTCTTGTGCGAAGAGATGGGTAAGCCTCTTTTTTCGAAATTATTCTTTCCATCAACGATCGAGCGGTCTTGTGCGGAGAGATGGATGAAGTGCCGAACTTTGCGAGGAAGAAGAAGATACGGTGTATTTCGCAAGGCATTTACGTCTTTCTCTTACCCTCAAACAACGGAAAGCAGCGAAAGCAGGAGTCTACTTCAGGACGGGAAAAGTAGCTGCGGGACGCAAAAAGTTTAAGAACGGAGCACGACCTCGTCTCCCCAAACCTTAACTCGGCTGCGTTTCCTGCCGTACGGCAGCGAAAACAGCGTCCCAAATGCACCCTTAGTTAACATGATTTCCTCACTTAAATTTAATGTCAAATTAAATGAAGTGTCGCATATAAAGATTTCCAAATTCCAAGCAAGTACATTCCCAAAACGTCCAGTAGATTGGCATCAATGTTTTGTCACTTTTCAACTGAATTCAGTGGAAAAAAGAGAAGGTTCACATTCCAGAACACTCCATCACCAAAGGCATTAACATTGCAAAAAACAAGTTTCATGCACAAGCAGGATTGAAGACAAAGTACATTTTAAAGATAGCAAGAATAGAATATTTAACCTGCTCACACACGCACAAACATGCATATGCCCAAATATACCTGTTCAGGAGAGCCCAACAAAATGAGATCTAAAGCTTCACGCCAGTCAGGTTGAATAACTGAAGCCAATTGCCGAGGTATCATGTGCCTTTCCATATGCGAGTCAGCATAAGCAATATTCTCCCTACTAGCAAACAGACTACCACCACAAAGGATAGAATATTCAATTAATTTACACAATGTTATCATAGCTAGGCCATCAAGTACTGAAAACCATTAGGTACCTTGTCACCAGAGGAGCTGCAGCGGAATAAAAAGGAATCTCCCCACTCTGTTCAGCAACATCTAATCTGAATACATAATGGGTAGAACATGAGAACTATCAAACTGTTAAAAAGAATCAAAAGGTAATTGCCATGTTGTAAATATACAATGCTTGAACTAAATCCCTCTTCCTGTTGCATGAGAGCTGCTAAACACGCTCTCAAGTTTGTCCATTTGGCCCAAGAAGATGAATATCAATAAATATACCATTCTTAACAAAAACCATCTTGACTTCATTAGAAGCTTTGGAGAATTAAGAAGAGATGATCATCAATATATTTTATTATGACACCTTTAGAAAATTTATGCCTTTTGCACTAGAGAGAAAATAAGTTAACCAAGACAATACACTGCCTTCACATGAGTTTAAACACTCAATTTGAGTTCTAGGAACGCAATTTAACCGCAGTAGTACCAATGAACCAACCTGAACAATGAATATGCAGCCTATTTGGATTGGTCAAATGGCAAGATGGGTTTAGTACAATACTTAAAGAGAAAAGATATTACAATTGGGGAATAGCAGATCGATTCATTTGGTCGTAAGAACCTGCATCATTTGCAATGCAACTGATTCAACTTGACAGAATTCCTCAATTCAAGGTGTGGTATAAAACAAGTTGGATGACTGCAACTAAAACAAACTGCTAGCATAACTGGGGAAATGTGAGGCATGCATACTTTTAGCTAGTTCCAACCCACACCTGGATTCACTGATGGATATTATCATGCAGGTATTAGTTCTATCTTAAAAACTTAGCAAGCTAATAATATTATACTCAATGAATGGAAAAAAAGAGTGTTGAACGTTTCATAAACACTACAACGTACTCAAGTAGTTAAACTTTCTATATAATAAGAATGAACCAATAAAAAAAAAGCCAGCCCCTCAAATCTAATTAAATTTTCTAATAAAAAAAACAAAAAAAAAGAAAAAAACAAGACATAACGTGAAAGTCAAAGATGAACAGCGTAAATATCACGCTGCATGTGGAAAAAGTTCATCCTTATATAATTAAGTAATTCAATTTTTTATGCTCATGAGTCTAAGCCTAATTGTTTCAGGTCAATGTTAGACCGGTCCAGCCGGTCCCTTATGGACCGGCTCAACATAACATAGGCGGAATTGTTCTACCTCCTGTACAAGCCGTAAGATCCAGAAAAGCTATTTAGGAAGGATTTTTTAGGGAGTTAGGAGGGAAATTTGAATGTAGGGACTGTTCAGATATTTCCTTTTTGATTGTATGCATTAAATAATTTGTTTTCCTAGGGTTAGGGCATCTTGAATTTGGCTGAAATATGAGATCTCTTATGTTTAGGTTTTTGGGCTTTAGCGGTGTCTAGAGAATTGTGAGAGATAGATCCTCATCTCGAATAGAGGATAAATTATATCTTGTTATTTTCTTCTGTTAGTTTGTGTTCTTGCAATAAATTTCCTGTTTTTCTTTAATTTTTCGTGGGATTTATGGATCGTTCTTACTGATTCCATCAAGATAGTTAGGTTTTACTTGGGAATTCCAAGTATTTCCTAACAAATTGGTAACATAGCATACTTTGGAACTGTTTGTGAAGTGTTTTCTGGAAAATTAGCAGTTGTTTTTGACAGTTGGAAGGGATTTGTTGCTATTTTTTATCAATATACAGATTTGTTGAACCTACAAAAATTCCGGGTATTGATGGCGGCCAAGACGGTAGATGCATTAAAGGAATGCCTTGAAGGGGAGATGGGCCAAATAAAAGCGACGGTGGAAGATCGAATTTCATCTGTAGAAGACAATGTGTCATCCGTGGAAGACAGTTTCTGATTTTCATGCGATGGTGAAGAAGCTATTGGAAAATCAAATTTAAACGGCGATATCGGAGATCGAGGGACCGGTGGGAAGAACTATTGGAAAATTTTCATGCGATGGTGAAGAAGCTATTGGAAAATCAAATTATGAATTTTGTAGGAGGGAAAACGATGTGGAGATAATAGAGGAGAAAGGAATTTGGTATGAAGAGAGGTGTGGATATGGGGGGCATGAACCAAGGAGTGCTGGTTGGGAGAGAAAAGAGGGAACTTATGGTAGGAGGGGTGCTGATTTTGGAGAAAGAAGGGGATAAAGTGAAGTTCGAAGATGAGCGTGTAAAGGAAGATCGGAAGACTTGGGGAGGACCAAACACTTGGGAAAAGGGAATTCGGGGAAAGGGGGAAGATCAGATGGTGCGGAAGCTGAAGATGCCCATTTTTGAAAGGGAGAATGCAGATGAGTGGATCTACAAGGTTGAGAGATATTTCTCCATCAATGGGTTGACGGATGATGATATTAATGGCCGCTGGCTTATGTTTGGAAGGAAAAGAGTTGTCTTGGTACCTGTGGAGAGATATGAGGAGGCCCATACAAAGTTGAAGGGAGTTTAAGGAATGTTTATTGAAACGTTTTCGAACCGATAGTGGAGGGGACTTCTATGAGCAGTTCTTTGCACTAGTGCAGAAAGGTTCAGTGGCAGATTATCAGGAGAAATTTGAGTACTTGGCAAGCCGATTGGATCGACTATCAGACACTGTTATGGAGAGGAATTTTATGAAGGGGCTCAAATCAGATATTCGAGCTGTAGTAAGGTTCATGAGGTCTCGTGACTTGGGGGAGGCTATGGAGATGGCACAACTAGTGGAAGATCAGAAGTACTAGGAGAGGGGAGTCAGAGGAAACAGTTCAGGCGGCTTTTACAAGATGACAACCATCCTTTTAGCACCCAAGGGGCATGCATCAAGCAACATTAATGAGACTCCCAGGGAGAATCCAGCAGGAGGAGGAAGTGGGGGAACTTAAAAAGACTGACAGAGAGGGAGATGCAAAAGAAGAGGGTGAAGGGACTATGCTTCATATGTGATGAGAAATATACTACAGGGCACAAGTGTAGGGATCGAACTCTTTAGATTCTCACTGTCTCTGATGACGAGAAAACTGAGGAGGGAGGTGAGAGTACGGGAGAGAGAGATGGAGGACAAGCTGCATCTAGACGTGATGGAGGTCTCCCTGAATTCAATTGTGGGATTCACTCCAAATCTTACCATGAAGGTGAAGGGGAAAATAACAGACGGGGAGGTGGTGGTGTTGATTGACAGAGGGGATATCCATAATTTTATCTCTAACCAGTTCATGGACAAATTGGGGGTGACATTGGTGGAAACAGGATGTTATGGAGTGATGATGGTTACAGGAAGGTGGAGACGGGTCAGGGGATATGTAGGGGAGTAGTGTTGACAATATAGGGGGTTCAGGTGAGGGAGGATTTTCTCCCATTGGAGTTAAGGATCATTGATGTCATTCTGGGGATGAAGTGATTGCAGACCTTGGGGGACACTAAGGTCAACTGGGGAGCATTGACGATGGAGCTGATAGTGGAAGGGAGAAGGGTAGCGATTAGGGGAGATGTAGGGCTCACGAAAGCCATGATATCACTTAAAACAAAGGTGAGGAGCATACAGGAGATGGGGGAAGGTAACCTGATGGAACTACATAGGCTGGAGGTGATCAGATTCTAGGAGGGCGGGGACATTCATCTTCAGTACAACCATTGATTCAGCAGTTCAATGAGGTTTTTCAGCTGCCTCAAAAGTTGCCTCCTCCACATGAACATGAGCATACTATCATCTTGAAGAAAGTAGTTTCACCTTTCATTGTTCATGATGTAGAACGAAAATCGCTTTGCTAGGGAAGATGGCCAAACTCCAAGTGACTCACAAAATTTGAAAAGCCCCTTCAAGAAATCTGAAATTTTATGGTGTTGTAGTGGAAACAGTCCAGCGAAAACTGCTGGACAGGAGTTTTATTTTTCCAAACAGCAGTTATTAGGCTTAGGATGACAGGAGACGTGAGAGCAAGGGTTGAAATTCCTTGATGACAGTCTTAGAAAACAGCATATTCCATGTGGGAAGAGTTTGGGAAGGGTTTAGAGTAGAAAACCAATGTAAAGGTGTTAAAAAAAAATTCGGCCAGCAGGGGAATACAGGACAGAATTTGGTTTTCAAAATTAAAAGGCTGAATTTTGGTAAGAATTGAGAGGTGATTGCATAAGTAGGGAATTTCGACTAGTTGAAAATCTCAGATTTTGGAAGTATTTCCAAAGAGCTCTGAGTTAATGGGGGAGTTAATTAGGAGCATTAATTGGCTCTTAATTAGGCAAAGGAAGGAGGAAGAGGGGACGGCATATGAGAGAGGGAGGGAGAGGTTTTGATTTCAAATAAGTGGGCCCCAATTACTTAAGTGAATTAATCCTTAAATCTGAAATTAAATTTCAGATTTAAAGCTGCGATTAATTCCTTAATTAAAGGGAGGAAATTTAGGAGGCATTTAACTCCTAATGCAAATTTGAAATTTGAATTTGAAATTCAAATGGCATGCAATTAAATCCCTTAATGAAGCATTAAAGGAGGTGACTTAAAGCTCTTTGATTCGAATTTAGGAGTTATGAAAGTGAAGCAATAAATCAAATTTTGAATTTAATTTCAAAATTGATTTCAATTAAGCACTTTCCAAAAATAGATGAACCAAATTAGGAAAGAATTTGAAATTTGAATTTGATTAAGTTCAAATTCAAATTAATCCCTAAATTAACCCAACCAAATTAGGAAATCCGAAAAGGGGTGGAGAGGAAGGTTCGGCCGGCGGCTAATGGGGTGGAGCCGGCGGCATGGGTTCGGGTCTAGGGGTGAATCCGGTGGCCAAACGAAGATGGGGAGGAGGAAGACGATGGAAAAACAATTAAGGAAGAGATAAAACAAAAACAAAGATTGAAACAAACGATAAAGAGAAAATAAAAACCGCGAGCCTCAGAACTCTCGAAGACTGATGGGATGATCGATTGCCTTCTCACAAGGGAACTTAATCACAGAAGCTGGGCCCGACCCATCCTGCCTGCTGGTGAAACTCGATTCCTTCATTAGGAAATCTCACCTCTCATTCTTCCCAAGAACAAAGTGTGGAATACAAATTTTTTCATATCAAATTCAACCATCTATTAACAATTGCTAAAAGGGCCA